TTCCCGAAACACGTGAAAAATGGCGCCATCGATGTTCGCTTCTCTTCCGTTGTGTATTTTTGTCGTGATTTGGACCTTCGCTACGGCTATTAGGGTCGGCGTGAGTATTTTATTTTTATTATTAGATTATTCGTTCCATTGCAATAATTTCAAGACAAAATTTTGGTCGATAATCCATTGCGAATTCCTTTATCACCAAAGTTTTATTTCTTTTTTCACATTTTTCAAATCGGCTAACCAAAGATATTAAATTCCAATGAATTACCACATTGATGCATGGTGTCTTTATTTTGTCGTTTTTTTTTCTATCTGTATGTGCAAATACTGGAAGCATCATCTTGTTTTATACCGTGCGGATGCTTTTATAAATGCATCAGAAATCTTGGTTATCGAAATTTAATTATATCATATTCTTTCTCAAACGATCACTGAGGTCAAGAGTTTCGCAAAAATGTTAGGAAATATCAGTGGCAGTTAACATGGAGGCGAGAAAGGTTATCAGCATTGCCAGACATTTTCAGCGGCTTTCGATTCAAGGAAATTTCAAGTAGTCAGAATGTTAGAAATTTTGATTGGTTTGTAGCGGAATGTTGGACATTTGACCAGATTTCCCGTAGATTATTAGAAATTCTGAGGATATGATGTTTTTTATCATCCAATACGTGTCAGCCCCTTTAACATAAACTTTCTGCACCCTAAAATATCTTACATAATCTTTATTACGACTGCCTTCGTGGTTGGCCGCGGAGTCATTATTGTGTGGCTTTGTGGATCTTTTGTGCTTGCTCAGTGACAGAAAATTCATCAGGGAGTATTTCGAGTTACAAGAATCCTCCTTCCGGAATATTAATTTTAACACCGTAGCAGCTCCCCGAGCCTAATGATTTGAGGAAGGCTAGATCAGTAGTAACTCAAGGTGCCATGGCGTCCCACAGGGCTATTTTGATATAACCATTAAAATAATTCTTTTTCATCATTTTTGAAAACTGAAAAGGGCAAAATGATCGACAATATTCACAAAGCATCCGTAACTTTTGTGACGTCATCAGAATGTGCTTTTTCCAAAATCAGAATAAGACGCCATGACACCTCGAGTTGCTACTGATCTAGCCTTCCCCCTAATGATCTTGGGCTCTGGGGTTACGACGGTAAAGTCTGATGACAGGTTTCTTAAGCCATAATGCATCGAACAAATCATTTCTCAAAACAATAAAATAGTGAAAATAATTAAATCAATTGGATAAATAACAAAGCTAGAGCGCATAAGAATTACATAAACCTCACCTCTTTTCTTAAATGTAGTGATGACGACCGTAAACATAACCTTAGTGGAGGTAATAAAGGTAATGATTATAATTTGGCATGTAAGTTAGGGTAAGATACACTAATAAAAAAATCATAAAAATCTATTCATAACTTTTTGAGTTATCATAACCAACGGACAAATTAACAAGCAGACAAACTGACTAACCCACGCTACCAAAATACGTAACCTTCTTGGCGTAGGTAATAGATAAGATAAAATAAAAATAGAACAAAGTAAAGAATAGATAGGTAAAATCTGCTGAGCAGTGTAGGGAACGGAAACATCACCTTATAAAGTTCTGTATTAACTTTATTCTCTTGGGCTTTCGAGATTATAAATTAAATTAAATTACAGTTTTAAACCAAATTAAACAATTTATCCTATCAACTGCTATCCATTAAAAAAAAGACTGCATAAATTAAAAAAAAACGCGAGGTAAGTATGTCTTCCAAACACTAGTACATATGAAAGTGGAAGTAAACACAGTAGGTTCTTTTAACCGGGTTTATTCGGCGCTATCGAGTAGGGATGCGTCCTTCCCGGCCAGCTTGCACGGGACCTCTAACGACGCGTGACATGCGCATGCGCGAGTCAGAAATCAAAACACGGTGCCACGTCATATGTGCAATAAAAAGTTATGAAAGTGATGCTGTACAAAAGAGGAGACATATATTTGTGAATTATATATATGGTCTTTATACATGTTTTATATACTAATGGCACTTCACACATCCAGAGTAAAGCAAACCATTGTCGTCCTTAAATAATTTAAACTGCTTTTGATTATAGAAAACATATTATTAGTAGTAGTAGTATTACAGCATCCCATCGCAGGTTACATGATATATTCGCAATCTTTTTGTATTGGTGCCAGTTCATTTATTTTCCAGGATGATCCCGATACGAACAGTTCGTCCACAAATTCTCTTCTCGAATTCGATCCTGTAGGACCTCCTCCGCCGCCTCTTCCAGGTTAGTTTCGACCTGCGCGCGCGCACACACACGCACACACACACACACACACACACACACACACACACACACACACACACACACACACACACACACACACACACACACACACACACACACACACACACACACACACACACAAACAAACAAACAAACACGCACACATACACACACACGCAAAACAAACAAACAAATACGCACACACATACACGCGCGCAAAAAAAAAAAAAAAGAGACACACCTTAAAAAAAACAACGCCCTTTGACCCCTTTTTCCCCCCCACCCCCTCCTCCTTCTAGGTTCGCGCCTGATGGGAGGGTTCGACCCACCCCCATTCAAGTACGGGTTCATGGGCGTCCTCATTCGGGGCCGGTCGTACTTCTGCTCCGCCACCCTCATACACGACCGGTTCGCGTTAACAGCTGCTCATTGTGTGGACAGGTGAGGTAATGGTTACTTGATGATGGTGATGATTGATGGAAATATTGGTGATAATGATGATTGAGGGGAATGATGGTGATAATGATGATTGAATGATGGTGATGATTGATGATAATGATGATGAGGGGAATGATGGTGATGATGATGAGGGAATGATGGTGATGATGAGGGGAATGAATGATCATGATGGAATGATGGTGATAATGATGACTATGATGGTGATAATGATGATTAAGGGGAATGATGGTGATAATGATGATGATATGATGGGATGAATGATGAATGAAGGATAATGATGAATGATGGATGATGGAGGGGAATGATGGTGATGATCATGATGAGGGAATGATGGTGATAATGATGATTGAGGGGAATGATGGTGATAATGATGATTGAGGGGAAGAGAATGTCCATAAAGATAATAGAGATAATAGTGATAATATGATTAAGATGATAATGGTCACAGTAATCATGATAATATAATTAACAAGGGTAATGATGATAATGATCGCGAAAATAATAATAATGATAATAACGATTTTCAGCACCCTTCTTGCTCTTTCCAAACCCGTAGGCCATTTCTTCCTTCAGCTTATAATACCAGTTAGATTTTTTCTTTCTTTCAAGACCTATCCTTCTACACTATTCTTGATAATATTCACCTTTTCAAAACAAATTTACAATTGCCCATGATGTGAAGAAGTGCTGACAATGTGAAGAAGCTGAAGAAGTGCTGACAGTGTGAAGAAGTGCTGACAGTGTGAAGAAGTGTTGACAGTGTGAAGAAGTGCTGACAATGAAGAAGTGTTGATGAAAGAAGTGCTGTGAAGAAGTGCTGACTGCTGACAAAGAAGTGCTGAAGTGTGTGACATAGTGCTGACAGTGTGAAGAAGTGCTGACAATGTGAAGAAGTGTGTGACTGAAGAAGTGCTGACAGTGTGAAGAAGTGCTGACAATGTGAAGAAGTGCTGACAGTGTGAAGAAGTGCTGACAGTGTGAAGAAGTGCTGACAGTGTGAAGAAGTGCTGACAGTGTGAAGTGCTGACAAGTGTTGACAGTGTCAAGAAGTGCTGACAATGTCAAGAAGTGCTGACAAGAAGTGCTGACAGTGTCAAGAAGTGCTGTGAAGAAGTGCTGACAGTGTGAAGAATGCTGTGAAGAAGTGCTGACAGTGTGAAGAAGTGCTGACAGTGTGAAGAAGTGTGACAGTGTGAGTGCTGACAATATGAAGAAGTGCTGACAGTGTCAAGAAGTGCTGACAATGTGAAGAAGTGCTGACAGTGTGAAGAAGTGCTGACAATGTGAAGAAGTGCTGACAGTGTCAAGAAGTGCCTGACTGAAGAAGTGCTGACAGTGTCAAGAAGTGCTGACAATGTGAAGAAGTGCTGACAATGAAAGAAGTGCTGACAGTGTGAAGAAGTGCTGACAGTGTGAAGAAGTGCTGACAGTGTCAAGAAGTGCTGACAATGTGAAGAAGTGCTGACAGTGTCAAGAAGTGCTGACAGTGCTGACAGTGTCAAGAAGTGTGACTGACAATGTGAAGAAGTGCGACCAAGAAGTGTGACAGTGTCAAGAAGTGCTGACAGTGGAATAGTGTGAAGAAGTGACTGACAGTGTGAAGAAGTGCTGACAAGTGTTGACAGTGAAGAAGTGTGACAATGCTGTGAAGAAGCTGCTGACAGTGTAAGAATGCTGACAAAAGAAGTGCTGACAACAGTGCTGAAAGAAGTGCTGACACATGTCAAGAAGTGATGACAGTGTCTGATAATGTGAAGAAGTGCTGACAAAGTGTGAAGAAAGTGCTGACAATGTGATAGAAGTGTGCTGTGACAAGTGCTGAAGAAGTGCTGACTGACAGTGTCAAGAAGTGTGCGACAGTGTCAAGAAGTGCTGACAATGTGAAGAAGTGCTGACAAGTGTGACTGAAGTGCTGACAATGTGAAGTGTAAGTGTCAAGAAGTGCTGACAGTGTCAATGCTGACAATGAAGAAGTGCTGAAGAAGTGCAATGACAAAGAAGTGCTGACAGTGTGAAGAAGTGCTGACAGTGTGAAGAAGTGCTGACAATGTGAAGACTTGAAAGAAGTGCTGACAAAAGAAGTGCTGAAGTGTGACAAGTGTGATTGAAGAAGTGTCAAATGACAAGAAGAAGTTGACTGTAAAGTGCTGACAATTGAAGAAGTGCTGTAGTGCAGTGCAGTGGTAACGTGCTGGTCTTGCAATCTCGTTACCAGTGGACGGTCACCCCGGCCATTCCTTACACACAGGGGGAGACATAAGCAAAATAAAACAGGCAGTATGTTACAGTAAAGAATATCTATTGTAACAAATGGAATTGAAACTAAAAAAAATCCTTTTTCGTGTCCTTACAACATAGATATATATACATATATATATATACATACATATACATATACATATATATATATATATATATATATATATATATATATATATATATATATATATATATATATACATATATATACATATATATAATATATATATATATATATATATATATATAATATATATATATATAATATATATATATATATTTCATAACAAAAAATAAATCATAATTATGAAGTCCTAAACTTATTTTTAAAGTACTTTTCTTCATTACTAAATATAGAATCCTGAATTTAATCTGGGTGCATGTATCCAACACTTTTACCAGGCATTGTTACCAAATATTCAATGTGACAATTCATATCGGTCTAGCATTTCACCAATATCATAGCACATAAACGCTATCCACCTTCTAGAGAATACTGTGGTAATGACAATAATTATGATGACAAGAGAAGTGACGATAAAAACCTGGAGAATACTGTGGTAATGACAATAATTATGATGACAAGAGAAGTGACGAAAAACCTGGAGAATACTGTGGTAATGACAATAATTATGATGACAAGAGAAGTGACGATAAAAACCTGGAGAATACTGTGGTAATGACAATAATTATGATGACAAGAGAAGTGACGATAAAAACCTGGAGAAAACTATGGTAATGACAATAATTATGATGACAAGAGAAGTGACGATAAAAAACCTGGAGAAAACTGTGGTAATGACAATAATTATGATGACAAGAGAAGTGACGATAAAAACCAGGAGAATACTGTGGTAATGACAATAATTATGATAATAAGAGCAGTGACAATAAAAACCTGGAGAATACTGTGGGTAATGACAATAATTATGATGACAAGAGAAGTGACGATAAAAACCAGAGAAACTGTGGTAATGACAATAATTATGATAATGAAGTGACGATAAAAATAGAGAAAACAATGACAATAATATATGATGATGATGATGATGATATTAGAATTAATGATAACAAATTATTTAGGGTTTATGAATGGCTAAGCACAAGGAATATCCACGGTTTTACATTTACAAGATTTGAATTCAGGTCATCAAAATTACTTTGTGGAGCTGAGTCTTATGCGTCGAGTAATTCATATGAGCAGGTTGTTGCAGTAGTATTAATTGTGGGTGACTGTTTCAGCATAACTATACAACATCATATATTTGCTACTTTTTTTTCGTCACAATAGCTATCTGTTCTCCTTTCACTTCCTGATAAAATAGTTCCCTTTTCCCTCTTCTCTTTTAACAGTGTATTGGCTATTCCTTTTTTCGTCACAATACCTATCTATTCTCCTTTCACTTCTTGACAATATACTTCCCTTTTCCCTCTTTTCTCTTGACAGTATATTGACTACTCCTTTTTCTTCTTTCTTCGTCACAATAGCTATCTATTCTCCTAATTCTCTTTTCTATTAACAGTATGTTCAGGGATTATAAGGTCCTACTTGGCATCAATAAAGTGGATGACGAGGCTAAAACGGCGCAGGTCATTCCAGTGGCCGAAGTGTTTCAGCGAAAGTGGTACAGAATGGACCCCTTAAAGGAAGACTTGGCTATCTTGAAGCTGGAAAAGCTGGCGACGATTAATAGTAAGATACATTTTTTGTGTGTATGTGTGTGTGTGTGTGTTTGTGCGTTTGTGTACGTATGTGTGTGCGTGTGCGTGTACGTGTACGTTTGTGCGTGTTCTTAACTAGTCGTTCTTCCCTTGTAGTTTCAATACGGGAGAACTAAGCTCAAATGGTCCCGTCTGCTATTTTTAGATTATCGTATAAATTTTTGAATTGATGCACATTTTTGGCACACGTTTTTTTTTTTTTTTTTTTTTTTAAGACTGTTCCATGCTTCAGTAGTTCTGCTTGGGAAACTAATTTTTTGACATATTTATTGGCTCGTTTTATTGTGTCCTCTCGCCTTTCTTGTGTTCCAGATTATCAAATCTTCTTTGTCTAAAATCACTCTTGATGTAATATAGTCGAACAACATAATCATGCCCCCCTTTCCTTTTCTTCCAAAGTAGTAAGTCCCAATTTTTGTAGTCTATCTTCGTAACTCATATCTCTTAGAGTAGGTGCCATCTTGTGGCCGCTCTTTGAACTCTTTCCAGTTTGTCAATATCCTTTTTTAATTGCGGATTCCATATCACTGCAGTATACTCAAGGCAATGTCTTAGGATTGCTGTAATGATCTATACCATATCCGTCCATATACAAGAATGCCCTCTTCATGTTGGAAATGCCATAGCGTTTAATGGACTTTTTAATTTATATGATTGTCTGGGCTTAGGTTTCTGTTTATGATTACCCCAAGGTCTTTTTTCCTGTCGGCGGTGTTTAATATTACGTTTCAATCTATATTGGAATTGTGGGCGATTTTCACTTTCTCCGAACCCGCCTACGTGGCATATCTTGGTGTTGAATTATTTTTTTCCAAATACAACTCCACATGAACAAGTTCTCGGTGTCATTATAGAGGTATTGGCATGAAAATGTCTACTTTTTTTTATAGACCACAAAATTCTTAACATTGAACATCAAGGTTCTCATCGCCCAGAAGTGTTTCCCAGTTTATGCCATTAAAGAAATTTTTAAGGCTTCTATAATCACCTTTCTGGTAATCGTACTTCTCCTTTCTTTCCTTACTTACGATGTTTTTCCTGTAGTAGACACTGTTTTAGTTTAATTACTACATGGTCGCCTTTTCCTAAAGGAGAACAGTACTCGATATCCTTAATATCACCTTTAGGCCACAATTATTTTATTCCTTGGTTTACGGATTTTATTTCTAAAAACCTCTGACAGGCGGTAGCAAAATAAAAATAAAGTTGATTGGGTGTTTTGAATCTTTTAAGAACAGTTTATTGATTTCTGAAAACACGAGACAGGCGGTAAAAAAAAAATGAAATACCGATGACAAAGTGACATCACGTCTGGAATCTGTGTTGTTCACGTGTCCATAGACAGGAATGATCTTTGACAGAATCGGTGACATATTGTACTTGAGATAAACGGCAGAAACCATCGATTGTGGAGGTTTCTAGAGGTTAAATCTACAGACTTCGACTCCAGCGCGTTCAGGTGTATTTCGGAGCGTGTACACATCAGCGGAAAGGGAATGTAGACGAGGTTATTTTTGTTACATCTGTATTGATTTCTTTTCGATGGTTGACTGTGTTGACCATCGGCAGTAAAAAAAAAAAAAAAAAAAAAAAAAAAAAAAAAAAAAAAGTTAAAGTTGATTTAGAAATATTTTCATTTTGTTCACAACGGAATCAAATCGTATCGGATTAGGTGCAGCGGGGAATAAGTAAAGTCGATTTCTCAATTATTTTTATTTTCGAAAGTCAGGAGAAACAAGTGCAGCGGATCCGTAAATCATGGAATAAAATAATTGTTGCATTGTGGTTTGTGCCTATTCGATCAACCATAGACGGTCTATTTAACCCGCTTACCCTGGTATGATCTGTTACATTCTGTAAAGGGTAATACGCATTCATGACAATTGTGGCTGCGCTCTGGGATCGAAACTTTCCCAGTCGGTTTTTCTATCAAAATCCCCTATGACAAGATTTTCTTTGGCATTGGTGTCCGGAAGTTGTAGCACTTCTTCCAGGCTCCTTAATGTCCCTTAAATGCGTTCTTTTGGTAATTTTCTTGTGATCACACCGGTACGTGAGGTGACATGTATATTATAGTTATTAATATGTTTACCACGTTTGTTTTTCCCTCATTTGGCTTGTTTCACTATGGGGTCTTGCTTAATTTCTAATTCCTTTGTATTTTTTCTTATTCAGATTTTCCTATATTCATCATGGATGGAGAGGACTTTGGCTTTCTTTGTTATATCAGTCACCATTTGCTTATTCATGAAAGTTACGTTCAAAGGGTGTTTCTTTCCCTTTTCGAATAATCCCAACCTCTTGTGAGCTATGATATTCTGCTCCGCGAATCCGGGATTAACGACCTTGAGAATGATTACAATCAATTTCATGTCCTCGTCGTATCGTTCAGTTCCACCTTCTACCACTTTTTCTTCATGTCCCAATTTGAGTATGTCCTTGTTCACATCAGCCAAATTAGCAATATTCCTTGCATGTTACTTCAGGTGTGATTTGAATTCAATTTTCTTTGCCGTCTCTTCAAGCTGTCTTAATTTCTTCCTTTGAGATCATGATGTATGTTTATATTTTTTCCATTTCATTTAGTTTAGTTTATCTTTGATACATTGGCATATGTAGCTGTCATCTTTTTTGCCTCTTCCATTACTTAAGCCTGGCTGCTTGACAAATTGATTTCCTTCTGCATAACAGCTTCTTGTACTTTGATTACTTACTCATTTTTTTCTTCTAGATTTTTTTCCTTCGGTTTCACTGCCGTGGCCAATCTTGGTTTCTGCTCTTTGTAACATTTCCTTGAGTTATTTGGTTTTCTTGTCAGACTTTCAAAACTCTCTCAGAATGGTTGTGTTCCTGAGCAAATTATCAACCAATTTCTTCAAATTTACGCTTCACGTATTTTCAGGCATTCGGCTACCAGGCTGTCCACTGTGTGTGTGTGTGTGTGGTGTGTGTGTATGTGTGTGTGTGTGTGTGTGTGTGTGTGTGTGTGTGTGTGTGTGTGTGTGTGTGTGTGTGTGTGTGTGTGTGTGTGTGTGTGTGTGTGTGTGTGTGTGTGTGCGTGTGTGTGTGTGTGTGTATGCATGAGCGTTTGTATATCTATGTTTTCCTAAATAAAATAATAACAAAGATAATAAATCAAGTAATAAAAGAACAAGATTGAGATACATCATCATAAATAAACATGCATGTTAAGAGAGAGAGAAAGAGAAAGCCTTTTCTCTTCCTTTTCCCAGAGTACGTTTTCCCCATCAGTATAGCGCCATATGGTCCCCATGAGGGTATGGCAGTGACGATACTTGGTTTTGGAGAGACGACCCGCGGTACGTGATATTGGCAGTGATTTACCGAATAACTGGATATTTACTTTTTAAAGACTGAAAGTCCATTTGTTATCTTCTTTTTTTATTTCTTTTGTCAGATTTTTTTTTAATCTGAATATATTTATATACGTACTGAACATTACCTTAATTACAGGCTTCTTCAGGTTCTCATCTCTTCAAGCAGGATATACGAAGGTCTTTTCCTTTCAAGTTTGCCAGAAAATATTCCCATTTATAATGAAGGACATGTTCTGTGTGAAGGGATCTGCGAGAACCTGCATTGTAAGTCGCTTTTCCATGCCTTGTACGTTCCTCAAAATGATTCCCTCTCTCTCTCTTTCTTCTCTCTCCCTCTCTCCTCTCCCCCCCCTGTCTCTCGCTCTCGCTCTCGCTCTCTCTCTCTCTCTCTCTCTCTCTCTCTCTCTCTCTCTCTCTCTCTCTCTCCCTCTCCCTCTCCCTCTCCTCTCTCTCCTCTCCTCTCCCTCTCCCTCTCCCTCCCTCTCCCTCTCCCTCTCCCTCTCCCTCTCCCTCCCTCCCTCCTCCCTCCCTATCTCCTCTCCTTCCCTCCCTCATCTCTCTCTCCTCCCCCCCCTCTCTCTCCTTCCCTCCCCCTCCTCTCTCTCCTTCCCTCCCCCCTCTCTCTCCTTCCTCTCTCTCTCTCTTCCTCCCCCCCTCTCTCTCCCTTCCCTCTCCCCCCTCTCTCTCCTTCCCTCCCCCTCTTCTCTCTCCTTCCCTCCCCCCCTCTCTCTCCTTCCTCCCCCCCCTCTCCTTCCCTCCCCCCCTCTCTCCTTCCCTCCCCCCCCCTCTCCTCTCTTCCTCCCCCCCTCTCTCTCTTCCCTCCCCCCCCCTCTCTCTCCTTCCCTCCCCCCTCTCTCTCCTTCCCTCCCCCCCTCTCTCTCCTTCCCTCCCCCCTCTCTCTCCTCTCCTCCCCCCCCCTCCTCTCCTTCCCTCCCCCCCTCTCTCTCTCCTTCCTCCCCCCTCTCTCTCCTTCCCTCCCCCCCCCTCTCTCTCCTTCCCTCCCCCCCCTCTCTCTCCTTCCCCCCCCTCTCTCTCCTTTCCCTCCCCCCCCTCTCTCTCCTTCCCTCCCCCCCTCTCTCTCCTTCCCTCCCCCCCTCTCTCTCCTCCCTCTCTCTCTCCTCCCTCCCCCTCTCTCCTTCCCTCCCCCCCTCTCTCCCCTCTCTCTCTCCTTCCCTCTCTCTCTCCTTCCTCCCCCCCTCTCTCCTTCCCTCCCCCCTCTCTCCTTCCCCCCCCCCTCTCTCCTTCCCTCCCCCCTCTCTCTCCTTCCCTCCCCCCCTCTCTCTCCTTCCCTCCCCCTCTCTCTCCTTCCCTCCCCCCTCCTCTCCTTCCTCCTCTCTCTCTCTCCTTCCCTCCCTCCCTCTCTCTCTCTCTCTCCTTCCCCCCTCCCTCCCCCTCTCCTCTCCCTCTCCTCTCTCTCTCCCTCCCTCATTCCTATCTATCCATCCGTCTTTCCCCTCTCCTTCCCTCCATGAACCTCCCTTCCTGTCCTCACACTCACCCCCCCCCCCTCCTCCCCCAGGGTGACGCAGGCGGTCCAGCCATTCACCAAGGCAAGCTGGTTGGCATCGCTTCTTTCGGACCCATAGGCTGCAAACGACATTATCCGCGGGGTTTCGCCCACATACACCAGTTTCAGGGATGGATTTTCAACATCGTCAGTACCCATGACAAATCTGGGTCTAACTACCCGTCTTCTGATGTGTATGTTCTGCTGGCTTTGCTGTTGGTGCTCCTCGTGCGAAGGCGATGGTGAAAGGAAGAAGTAGAAAGAAGATGATGATGAAGGACATGTGATTGTGTAAAATATGGAATGTGTATCTGATGTGCCTAAAATTGAATCATTAAATGTGGTATCATTTGATTTTAGGAATATCAAATACATTCCACATGGCGCGCATTTTAGGCTGGGATTATTACGCGCTTTATTATCATTTCCTCTCTCTCTTCTTTCTTCAATTATTGCCACTGCATTGCAGGGCCGAGAACAAGATGGGCCAATGGCATAAAAGTCAGTGTTGAGAAATATGTCTTTGAAAGTTTGTTCCTCATATTAATATTCAATAAATGGTAATTCAGAAAATTGAGTTCTCTTTAACAAATCAACCTATATTGCATCACTAAAGACATTTTTATATAATGCAAAAACGACCTTTTTTATTACGAAAAACATTACCTTTATTTTAACTATTAATTGTAAACATGTTTTTGCCGACTAATAAATCAGTTAAAATATTTACAGCTTTTGACACATTTCCCTATTCCATTTTTACTTTTCTACCATTTTGTGTCTAAAAAATATAAATAAATATTTTTTTCGGCCAATAATTCTAATGTTTTTTTTTTTCCCTTTCTGGAACTGTAAGCTCTATCATCTGTATAGTGAAAATGGCATATTAACTTTAAGAAAAATATAGAATAGTAAAAGCATCCAACCTAAGCCTTTGAACTGCTATATATTCAATATTCACATCCCCTCTAAAAGGTTTTACCCGATTTTTATCAACCTGCAAGTTACTACAAGTTCTATGACCCCCAATTCAATGACATTTGATGCATGTCGATCGTCCACAAGTGAGTTTTCTAGATGCTTTTTTTTACTACTATTTATAGACTGGAATAGATTGCCTTCAGAGATCGTAACTTCTCCAACTCTTGATAAGTTTAAAAGATCAGCTAACATGTTTTTCTTACATAAATAGCTAACTTTCTATCCTCATTCTTTCTTAGATGTATCTTAACCTGCACTGACACCTTTGGTGGTGTAAATCGGGGTTTTTTTCAGTGTGGCTCCTTATATAGCTTACAATAATAATAATAATAATAACAACAACAATAATGCAGCCATTTGTAGGAATCAATCACGTGTTGGGTTGGGATATAAGATTTTCAGTAAATTGGATTTCGAAGCAATGCTCGTGCCACCCCAAATGCACAGATGGCATTACCATTTATAATACTTCTAGAAACAAAAGTTTCCAGTGATGTGGTTGGCTTATCTCTAAATTGACATTTTTGGACACTGGCCATTCCAGCACTTGGGCCAAGATATGGTAGTATGATTCTGTGACCGAGAATTAAAAAGTCCAATGTTAAAAAATGCCTCTCTTGAGATAACCCTACCACCGCACTGGAAATGTTTCGTATATATGTTGGTAGAAAAACCCACAATGCACAAACTAGATTTATTGAAGAAAGTGAGACAACAGTTTCGGAATCGCCCTCGATTCCATCTTCGGGTCTGAGGAGGGAAGTTCAGTTCAGTTAGATTTGCGAAATCATGCTTCGCCCGGGCCTTTTCTCTGGAGTGGCCCGGCCTGTGTTAACTAATAATAGTTAACTCAAGTGGTTTCTTTGAACTGCATGCTTATCGTGGTGGCTGGATTGCGAGCAAGCGATCCAGCTGCCACGGAGTAAGCATGTTACAGACCCGTTTTACCATCCCGGCGGCTGTAGTGGGTGGTCCCTGTCTTAGAAATTGTGTTCACAATCCTGCAAGTAATGTAATAGGGTGGCGTTGGACTCGCCGCAGTTTGCATAACCTGGCAGTCTCACTATCAATAATTTGCCAAGCGCATTGGTAACCTAGTCTTCGTCTGAATAGTATGACTTGATTACCTCTTTTTGTGTTTGGAGGAAGGGCCAGTGGCTCATAGCCTGAAGCATCTGAGTACCACTTGGCAGCGAGCGATTTTGTGATGTTTTCTCTATGTGCTCCCCGGAGGACCGCACACGCTGCAGCTTTGGTACTTTGGCTTAGTCCCCTTCGGCTGGGTTTAACGATCATGGAGGATGGGGGTATACCCCTGCCCTTTTCGGCTAGTTTATCAGCAAGCTCGTTCCTTTGTATGCCTATGTGGCTTGGGACCCAGTTTATGATGATTCTTCTACCTTGACTAAGGATTCTTTGGGCTATGGTTAGTACTGTTGTCAGGGAGCATGCTATCCTGTAAGCTGTCAATAGTTGCTCTAGAATCTGTGTGAATGACAACGTGTCCTGCCCTAAGGGACGCGTGTGTCAGGGCTTCCATGATCGCAACCGTTTCAGCTTGGAGCGTTGAGGCATTGTCATGACCCTAATGGACTCTGTGGAATCCCTTGTTGCGAAGCCGGCGCCTGCAGTATGGTTTATGGGATCCACGGATCCGTCCGTGTAGTATGTTATGCTACCCGGAGGAGTTATTTGATCAATGATCCTTTGTGCTTGTACCTTTAGACTAGGCATGGATTTTTTATCTTTTCTCATTGTAAGATTTAAAATTGAGAATTCGATCATTTCGTTTGCCCACGGCGGGGGTTCTTTGTAGTCAGGGTGAGGGGAATCCATGCCCTTGGCAAGCAATGGTTCTTTTAGCTGAAAGCGTTTCAATACTCTGGCTGTATGTGTGAGCCAAGAGTTGTCCGCAAACAACTGGTAGTCTTGTTGTAGGCGTCTGAGTACTCTTTGTCTTAAATAAGAGTTTCTGGGTGCCTGCAGGACCTTGGAAAGGAACTGTGCTGCCATTAGATCAATTCTGGTGTCCATGGACGGCAAATCAGCTTCCATGAGGAGGTTGATGACCTTTGTCCACTTGGGCGCACCTAGAATGATCCTGGCTGCTTCGTTTTGTATTGTTTCCAGTTTTTCTTTTAATGTTGTGTTGGAAGCAATGAGGGCGACAGATGCATAGTCAATAATAGGACGGACAGCATATACATATGTACATACATGATCTTAGTACTTTGTGTCCTGCTCCTGTGTGTGTCTCCCTGTCATGACTTTCATGACTGACAATCTTTCCTTAGTTCTGTCAAGCAGGTATTGGATCTCTTTTTTGAAAGTGAGTGTGTGTCCTATCCATACACCAAGTAGTAGTCCATTAACCCATCCCATACCCTGCACAGTGAGTTTTTTGTTTCTGACATTAGTTCTCAATGCTATTGCTTTGAATTTTGCTGCCGAAATTTTTAGACCCGTCCTACAATACTCTTCAGACAACGGTGAGCTCTAGTTAGGCAGTGATTGCCAGAGGCCATGATTGCCAAGTCATCAGCATAAGAGATGATCTTGCATCCATCTGGCAGGTGAATGTCGAGTATGTTGGACATGAGGGTGTGGCGGACGCCACAATCACCTCGGCACCGGCGCTGTCTAGCTCCGCTTAATTGCCTCACTCAGCACCGGCGCACCTCGCTCGGCTTAATTGCCCCAACGCCGAATCAGCCGGCAGGCAAGCGTGGCGAGGTCCGCGGCGCTGATTCGCCGCGACGCGGAAGACAAGGATGCAGCCGTCGGCCAACCATCACACTCAACCGCAAACGACCCGGCAGTGTTACTTTGCCCTGTTTGTTTATAAACTGCATTTCTCGCCAAAATTAGACACACTTCACAAGACTTCACTGCACTTCAGTGTTTACTTCACCTTACCATTCAAGACCTTAGCTCTTGACTACCTCGCTGAAGGCCTCTCTACAAGGGTATTGAACTGAGAACTGGACTGAGAACCCCACCCTGAGGAGTTCCATTTTCAAGTGGCATGTGCTGCGAGAGGTGGCCTTGAAATCTAACATTTGTTGACCTATTTTTAAAATAGTCAGCTATCCAGGCCAAGAGTCTGCCTTTGACTCCTTTGTGGATTAGGGTCTCTTGAATGACAAACGGGCTTGCCAATTCAAAAGCCTTCTCCAGGTCTAGGAAGACAACCACGGCGCGCGAGGTGCAGATTGTGCTTAAGAGTGTGGAAATGCTGTGTATAGTGCTCTTACCCCTTGTGAACCCATGCAGGTGTTCATGAGGGGGACCCGTTTTCCATCGGAGCCTGTTGAGTACCATCTCAGCTGTTTTACCAAGGCAGCTGAGAAGAGAGATGGGACGGCACTTGCCAGGCTCCTTTGGTTTTGGGATGGGAACTATTGTGGCTTGTTTGCAGCTCTGGGGCACCGTGGCGGTTTGCCAGGATTTGTTGATAACCTACAAGAATGCAAGTTCTCCTGCCAGACCTAAATGCGAAATGATGAGATGGGAGATCCCATCAGATCCCGGTACTGATCCAGAGCTGGTTTTGTATGACTTTCTTAGTTCCCCAAGAGAGAACAAGGCATCCGTGTCATCAGATTCGAGTGCCTTGTCTCTAATGAAAGCAAGTCTTCCTGGATTTAAGTTTTGTTGTTTTTCCTTCATCACTGGAGGCAGGTTGCTGTTGCTGGTTCTGGCTGAGAACTCAAGCACCAATCTGTTAGCCTCTGACTGGGGCTTGGCGGCTTGTCGCTTGCCTGACCCGTTTCCACAACTCTGTAAGGCTGGTCTGGTTTCCAAAAGTCTGTCACCATTCCAGCCATTTTTCCTGCCTTACTATATTGGCAATTTCCTTGGCATCCGCAACAGTTCCCTCAACAGGGCCAGATTGTCGGGAGTTCTTTGCCGTCGGATTTTTTTCTGCACATATTAACCCTGTGGTTGACCTCTTTGATTTCGTCTTTATAGTACCAGGCGTCTTTGTGAGTTCTGGACCATGGGCGAGTTTTGGGGATGGTTTGTGAGGCTTTCTGATTTATGGTATGGATTATCCTTGCCTCTAGCACATCCACATTTTCATTATTGTTGGGTTCATTGTCTTTCAGACATCGAACCAAGCCTTCCTGGAAGGCAAACCAGTTGGCCTTGTCTGTTTTCCATTTGGGAATGTGATGTGGTCTTTGGGCTGGACTTGCATCCATTAAGGTGGTGACTATGCCGTAGTGATCACTAGTAACCGTATCATCGACACACCACCGAATTCTCTCCACCATTGTTGCCGTGGCAAAGGTAAGGTCTAGGACCCCTCCCCTCACGTGCGTTGTTTTTTCGGTGTTAAGAAGAGCAATCTCTGGGAACGTGTCAAGCACTTCTGCTATATGAATACCTGCCGCGTTCGGCCTTTTGCGGGGATTCAGCATGAATATGTGTGCATTGAAGTCTCCCCCTATGATCACTCGGTCTTGTGCTGCGGTAGCACAGACCTGGTTTAAATCTAAGCTCTCACACAGTGGTTTGCTATATACATTATATATATTTAAAGGACCCCCAGGCAGCTGAATCTCAACAGCAAGAGATTCAACGGCATCTCCACAGTGCGGCGGATTGGCTATTAAGGAGCACAGGATTGCTTCTTTTACCAGGGTCACCAGGCCTCTAGCACCATCCAGGGCCCGGATTCACTAACGCACTT